TCAGTCCTCGCCTGCTCTCAGCCCCCGCAACTGTCATCGCCAGTCTCGACGTGCGTGCTTTGCTGTGTTGACGAGGTCACGTGGGCCGACGTCCCCAGGGTATAACGAACCGCAAATCCGACAGAGTTGTCTGACGAGGCTCGCCGATCTGGTAAAGGAACATGCACGTTCCGTTTTTGCACTGAAGCTCACTTTAGAACCCTCGCAGGCAGTCGTATAGCAACTTGTAGAACAGAATGAAGTGGATCCGAAAAAGACAAAGAAGACCGGAATGGCAACTTCTGGCTTATTAGGCGTCATTAACCAGTCGTACTCAATCCCAGGTAGGGATCACCCGCGATTCGAGTCCGGGACCATTGGTCATGGAGCATAACGCGCTACCACTGAACTACAGACTCGTTGCATCGGGAATATGATGAAAGTGTGGGCCTCGCCGATCTGGTAAAGAAACATGTACGTTCCATTTGAAGGCCAAGGTAACTTCTCGCGCGGATCCCGGATGAGGATGTGTACTCGTTTGTCGGTAACGATGGCTGGTGTTCCTCCCTTCCCTTCCTACCACTGTCTTCGCTCGCTAGCTCGCTACCGTTACCGTATCGTTCCGTATGTTCCCTACTCTCAGTACCTCCACGGCCCTCAACCGCAGTTGCCAACATCTAACTGATAGTTCGTGGCCTAACCTCACTCCAAATGGAGCGTTTGAATAGCTCCTTGATATTCTCTTGTATCGCTACTCGTCCACTTTTACTATTTACCTGTCCTTTTATCGTAAGAGATCTCATATGCTATTGATTCGTTATTCTTATAAATACCTGCACGTGTGTCTGTCGTAATGATTGTTGTAACGGATGCCCAGGCCGAGGTATCACCGCCCAATAACGCCTTGTGTCAGTCCCCAAAGGAAGAACACGACAAGAAGGGTGCAACGGCCGAAGTAGTTTAGTGTAATAGGTACAACGTATTTAGGACAACAAACCGTGTAACGCGATGTCCATTGAGGCAATCAGGTCCTCTCCTGAAATAGTCGCTGGTAGGATTGGCTACTGACTCTGTGATTGAATGTAGCTAGAAACTCAAATTATTGATTGATTGTCTAGCACGATGCGTGAGCTCGCGTGTAGGACGATCGATAGCCTATTGTGGACGCGGCTACTTGCTGCCTCTTTGCTATTCGTTGGGTCTCTTCTAACAATGATGACTCTGGGGCATACACCGGCTGACATCCGCTAAGGGCACACGAAGCAGCCCACAACACGATCGTAACTTTATGATTTTGTTTGCCTCAGTTTCGCGTCAGCAGATGTCGGTTGATGGACAGGAGCGGAATTTGCTGACGTCAATATTTATCCTCCTCGTGATCCAGTCGGAAGGCTGGCTGAACACGATTGGAAATGATTTTGAATCTAAAGGTTGGCTTGACGTGTGCATCGGATTTATTCTGGTCCAGTGATGGTCTTTTGGAATTTGGGGGAGGATAATCAAGTACCATAGAAATCATCTAGTAGACACACGCTACTTCTTGGACGCCATTGACACCTGACTAAGTTGCCAAGGCTCTAAAAAGTACTAGGAGTTCGCAAAAAACACCTGGGGGAGTACTGTTTGACGGCGGTCAAGGGTACGCGATCCAGATCTGTGTGCCTAAGAAGGGGTTGTGCAGCTCTTGCAACTGCTATGGCCCAAGTTTAAAGAACTAAGTGAATGCATTTGAGCATGGTAAAAAATGAGTTTGCTACACCCGTGGCCTCATCGTCCACCCTCCTGGAAATGTTAGAAAGCAACCTTTCACTAAGGCTCACTTCAGCATTATTCGTTTGCAATTTTCTCAGACTATGCGCAAATTGGAAAAAGAAGAAGAGATGATGGTTGGAACATGGCTTTATCGGAAAACTGCATAGCACAATGATGAACGAACATGTGACAGCAGTGAGGAGGAAGGACGCTAACTCTCAGGTGGCAACTCGTGCGTCGGGGTCCGGCCACACCTTCTAGATGGGCGAGGCCTTACTTCTTGCAGGGACTGACAACCGCGTGAGCTGCTAACTGCTTGTGTTTTAATTTGTTGGTCCGCGGTCGACTAAAAGGCACAATGACTTCACGGCCCCATATTCTATGCCGAAACATTGCCTTTGCAGAATAATGATCCACTCGCGGGCGGCCAATGCGACAGCGAGTCACATTGCCAAGTCATCATCTTACCAAGAATCGGGGACGGTGTTGAAATTTCAAAAATTAACGACTTGGACGCGGACTAACGAGCAATCATCGCGTTAGTTCCGAACACCAGCGATGAATGCGAAATCTGATAATTGGCTTAGGCACATGAGAACTCTGTCCTAGAAATAGTGCACCTCTGGTGCCCTCATCTATGACTGTCTCTGACGATGGGTTCGAGCGAGAATCCGAAACATCAAGCCAATAAACGCCATGTTCCAGCAATCTCGTCTTCTTTTTCTGGACTGCTTCCGGCAATGCGTCTGTTCGCTTTTATCAGCAATATGCGCAACTTTTCTAAGCTTGTTAATTAAGGTTTTTATATCGCTCTTAGACATAGGAAACTCTTTGGAAAAACTTTATTAAATATCCCTCTAACTTAAATGATGGACTACAAGTTGAGTACATGCTACCACGTTAATTTTAGACAAAATGATCATGGTACTTGTTGTGTATGCCTGCCCGTAGTGTCGAGACCTCATGCTATAATGCGCGCGTGGAGCGCCGCTTAAGTTCACGGACACGTGCCTACCCCTTTCTTTATTCTGATTGGCCAGCCTTCGGCCTATTACGCTTGCCCAACACTATATATACAGCGGTGTCAACATGACTCCCCACTTGGACTGTTCCCCCATCCTCAGTATACGTCCCGCCCAAAGTCAGGCTTCTCTTTTTAATACATGGCATACTACCTAAAAGCTGCCTTCTGTTTTCAATACATACCAATACTACCGCTAGAAACCGCATTAAGTTGGTTTGCGAGAATCGACATCTTACAATAATTCCTATAGCCCCATTCGCTGGTAGCATTTATTTATGCCTCGAGCAGCCTCAGCACAGTTGGCGTCCAACCCCATAAAGAGGAACCAAGTCGCCTGATAGGCGAGATTATCGATCGATATTCTGGATACACGCACCTGCACTCTGACAACGGCTTGCGCTACTCGCCACGCACGGTCAGGCGTCAAATAATGTGATCAGAAAACCTGTAGTCATGGTAGAAAACATCCAGAGTCGTTTATCATGCTTGGTTCAAGTGCGAGCAAGGCAGCTGCGATGGAGAAACTGCGAAGTTAATTTGGACGCGGATGGCCGAACACGCAGCAGTATTGAAGAAGGACGCCAATTTGGACATCGCAGCTCATTCAATTTAAGTCGCCTTATTAAAGCTTGCGATTTGAGGAGACAGGCAAGGAGCGAGAGCAAAGCGGACCAGGAGCCATGTGATCTGACTGAAAGTCACTCCCAATGATTCCATTGGGATGATTATCAATCCACGGACGGGCAAAGTACGTCAAATCACTTCATGATGTCCTATCGCGTTCCACAAACATATTAAAATTGTGTGAAAAACTGTGGATGCGATATACGTTTGATATGGTAATTATCTGATGGAGCTAAGTAACTGGTCCTGCATATGGAAAATCAACTGTATGTTTTAAACATACAATAGATGACTTAATTCACTGAATGACCTGATCTAAATTTAAGTATGTATTTTAGATCTACATTTGCTGCTTCGAAAACCTTTTACTAAAGAAGAATGCATTTCAAATCTACTTTCTTTAAGGGAAAACAGACTAGATTTGGGTGAAATGGAACCTGCAGACATCCAGAACGTTGTTCAGCATCACAGATCAAAAAATATATATGGATATAGGCGAAAAACAATATATACACATATATTATTGGTCACTTGCTGGCCCAGCATCTGCATGGACACCTCCAGGTAGTAGGATGGCATTTAGGTGGGCTTCTGTGTAGACTTCTAAGCCGAAGTCAGTACGACAAGCTCTCCTGATGAGCTCTTGCATATTTTTGAAAAGTCAAAAGATGCGCAGGTGTTTTCAGCGTGGTCAAATGAGCTAAAATTTCTAATTTTATTGTCTGCAGGGAGAATGGAAGACAGCGCATTTATGGTCAATGGATGGAGGTAGACAGCTCAAGAATGTATCCATGACTAGTTTAAAAACGATCATAGTCGTCGTTTGGGTACATGCAGCATAAAGGTTAATTTGAGTGATTGGATAAAAGCTACAAAAAGATGGGACAAATGGAGTTCTCACCAACAATGGATCCATACAATTACCATCGGCGTCCTCCATCTCCATATTGTAGATTTTCATATCATCCTGCTGGGCAAACACGTTCCAACCATTGCTGCTGCAATCGAGGCCATCAGCATCGGAGCAGAGGAATTTTCGGAAGATGTCTATCCTCTTCCCGCAGACCTTGCTCACTTCTTTGCTGAGCGGATGCGAGCTGGGCGAGGCATGTCCGGAGCCCAGGCTATCCTTAACCGGCGTAGTTTTAGTCAGGCAAACTTCACCCTCTGTTTGCGAAAAATAAGTAAGGTTTTACCTCGGAACTCATACACATAAAGGGTGCTGCTATGGTATGATTCACAACCTACTAGCTACTGTTTAAAAATCAAGACATAGTTAAAAATATGTCGTCTATATTGCAAGAATTGAAGCCGAATTAAATAGCAACAATTAAGCAACAAATATTTCTTTAATCTTGCGTATGATTGCTACGAATTGGTCTTAATTGCCGTCCAGAACACGCTAACAGCGTTTAGTCATGTGTCCCTGAAGAAAGTGCCGGGGAACTGTGATTTTTCGTCAAAATTTAAATTTTGCCGCCTGAACAATGCGTCTCGCTTTGCGGGTTGTGCGGACCTATATTTAAATCAATGTAATTTTCCTAGTGATTGACGGTTTTGTGATTAAGTTGCCGATTTGGGGTTTTCCGGTATGTCATACAGCTTTTCTCCGGTAGCGACAGATACCGTTTTCCAGTGGACTTCCTGGCAGAAAGCGAGCCAGGCAACCACAGTATTTCTAGACCTAACAGTAAGCGTTGGCACTTTTTCCAGTGGTATTCTGTTGCTCTAGAGATAAACGAACTCTAAATGTTTGCAGAGCGTGAAATCACGGCGGAGTCTTCCGTCCAACCCACAGCAATGGAAGAATTCGTTCCCTTCTCTCAGTAATCGAACAGACTTGCAGCGCTTTCTTCTGCACCTCCATACCGGTACATTCTTTGTGCTCGTGAACACCACCGGCTCATTGCACTTGCGACAATAATTTCCCTTCACTAAGAAGCCATGTCGGTGGAGATATCGTGACGCGGATTCTGCACTCTGCACCGCTTCAACATAAAATTCCTGTAACAACATTTTGAAGGATATTCTGCAGTAGTAACAAAAAACCGAGGATAGGAAGCAGGCTATAGTAACACCGACGAAAGGAATATATTACGAACGAGAAACTAAAAGCAGGGCTCGCGTTTGATTTGAAAATTTTCACAAGTTCAACTGAGCTCACCAGGCATGTGTGTTGAGGTTCAAAGACGATGACAAAACCAATCAAAATACCAATAAAATAGGCTAGGCAGTTTCTTGCATGTTATTACATCCAATCCAAGCCGCACTGCAGCGCATGACACCGATCAGACTTCCGCCGAGAGAAGAGCCTATTAATCCGACTGAGGAGTGAGGGCGGTAGCTCACATGACTCGGCGCTGCCACTTTTTCTGCATCGGTGATGCTGCACCGGATCAAAACGCTGACTATCAGGGCCCACCTGGTTCTGGCTGTCTATTGGTCAATTTGTTAGCGCGGCAACCAGGTGACGGCGACCGCGGCTGCTGAAGTCGTTTCAGTGCCTAGTGCTGATTGGTGCATTTGGTGAGACGGGTGAGAGGGAGACGGATCATTGATTGGACCATAGGTCGGGTGCGCAAGTACGTGTGAGCGCGACGACACACTTGCTGCAAATATGGTCGTTCGGGTCGTAAACGGGCAGGGTGGAAGTCCAACGCCAACTTCAGGTAGCCAGAACGTCGCAGTTGGTCTATGGTACTCCTTATTTGTTTTGACACAATGCTTGCAAGGCTCGTCAGAATGATGGCCACAAGCGGGGGGGAGGGGAGGGAATTGAATTCAGACCACGAACAAGCGACAGCTAACTCGAAATCATACGAAAGTACGCTTTTCATCTACCTCCTGAAGCTATTCGAAGAACCGGGAGGCAAAGGCTGGACGACTAATAACACGTCAGGGGGATCTTTCCTCAGGATAGGTCCTGCATACACCAGTTTACGGTCCGAGACGAGCTAACCAACGTTCACGTCCACTGCCAGGTTGTTCGGTCAATAAGAGACAGGAGCGAATTCTTCCATTATTGTGTGATTTGAACTGAAGAATAACTGTAATTGGAAGCTTTATCCAATTTTAGAGTTTTTTTATCTCTAGAGCAGTGTCAGTGCTTAATTTTAGATCCGCAAATACGGTCGTTGCCTGGTTCAATTACTGGCAGCTGTCGCTAGCAGAGGAGAGCTGTATGGAACACCGCCAAACCCCAAAAAAATCGAGTAGGCCCTGGTAAGCACAATCGTGGCTGTCCGACTACAGCATGCACTCTGACGAACGCATTCAAGAAATCAGTATGACCCCGTTGTGGGTCAGTGTGGAGCGGCCGCTAGCGCTACTTGGAAAACATGACTCGTTACGCCCCACTGCTGCTGATGTCGTGCCCCTGGGACCAGGCGCAAACGTGCGCACCTTACCTCTTCCGTTCTGGCCTCAATCCACAGTGGCTTGACCTCAATCCGCCCAATGAGGTTCCCGCGTTAGTAGACTAGCCTCATTAGTAGGTTCGCCTTAATCCATCTGGACACAGAGGTCAGTGCGGTATCTGCTCCCGGGCACCCCTTCGAGCCACGCCGCCCTAGCGGAAGGATGGGCGCTCCGACAGTCAAATCTCTCACAACCTATTTTTCCACCCCTCTGTACAGAATACATTCTTCTTAACATTCTGGCTTTCCCAGAACTTCTCTCCCCTTCTCTTGATCAACCGGGCCTGGAAGATTGCAGCCGCTAAGGTCTACTCTATTAGCCCATAACCTCCCCTCGCACCCACAGCGTAACCAAGATAGAGTGTAAGGTGTCGTGGGGGGGGAGGGCAGGGGGAGCACGAGCATTTCTCAGTTTTTTGGTCGCTCCCGGTTCGCCGATGTGACTGGATGGCCACTGCAGGACAATAACTACCGAGAGCACATTGTCTCTTACACACCTCGCACCGGAGGGGCATGTCACGCGTAGAGACGAACACACGCGACACAGTTTCGGTCGGTTAGGGCAGGCGCGATCATGGTCGTAAGCAGTTCCTGTAAGCGTTACACCAAAAGCGCTTCATCAAAAGCTGTGCTGAATTTGGTGAATCTGTAGGGATCCTGCTTCGAGCACCAATACGTCTCCGGGCTGGTTCTCGATCAATCACAGCTAGCCAAACCGACCAATAGACGCCAAGACTGTTACAGACGTCTGCTCCAGCAACGCCGAACATGTGCTTCTTGTTCGACTGCCACTTTGCTCCAACCTATTCTTCATTCTTTGTGGATACAGAATACAGGCTACAATGGTTCCGTCTTAAATTGACTTCTGGCACTCTCACTCATAGGAAACGGGAGTCACTCAATCCCCGTTTTGTGTGATATCCTGGTGCTTATGTTTTAGGGGTCCGGGAATGGGAATAGAGAGTAAGGTCGATCGGCCAGGTCATATGTATATTTCTAATAAAATCTATCGTCCATACGTACGAATAACTAAACAAAGCCACATAATCGGATCAAGGCGATATTGCAAAATCCCTGAAACGATCCGAAGCGACAGTCGCCAACATCTACGGACTGCCCAAAGTTCACAAACTGGAAGTTCCCCCATGACCGATAGTTTCATTAATCAGTGCACCGAATGACAAAATTTGTAAGCGTTTATTCCGTCAATTCCATCCACTTACGAGGGAGTGTGAAACTTACATTCCAATTTTACAGAAACTTAGGGGAATCACAGTCTCCGATGATGAGATAATAGTCTCCACCGATGTCGTTTCGTTGTTCACCTCCATACCACTCGATGTAGCAAGGTGATGCACAGGGAAGGTTCCTACAGCTGCCTGGCTGGAAGCCAGATTTTATTTGATCATAAATACTATCAACAGCTAAAAGAGGTAAAAAGAGATTCGTGGTGCTTGGTCTCCTGTCTCGGAAGTTTACCTGCGCATCTGGATTACTGGTCTACTTGACCTGTTTATCAGTTCTATCTCGAGCGTGAAGACCTGGAAAGCCCACCGACGCCTGTCCAAGTTGAGTGTAGTCAGCAGGAATCGGAATTTGCGTCTTTTTCTGAATCTGCATCATCGTAATCTGTGTCTTCATCGGAATCTGTGTCAGCGAGCACCAACTAAAATTCTGCATTTTCGACACTGGCTCACTAGGTCGTCGTTAGACGCGTAAAAATTGCACAGAACAGAGGGAATTTCAACAAGGCCGGAAAAATCGATAATTTAGAAGAAGAAGAAGAAGAAGAAGAAGAAGA